AATGTTTCTTTTTAGAAATGTTCTACAGGAGCTTCACTGCATGGCACAGTGTCAGATGTCTATGCATGTCTATGCACTAAACATTTTCTATCATGTCAGAGCGTATCTAAAATTACTTTGAAATGTTCCCATGAAGATCAGTTCTGTTTTTCCTAGAACAGGCTGCATTTTGAGTTTAAGCTGCCATTCGGTGTGCAAAAGAGGATCTGAAACCAAATCCCCTTCCACCAGATTGGTCTGGCAGTTGAGTCATGGTAGATGTATCTTCAGAGATAGCCAGGAAAAAGGTTTATGTTTTAATAAGACTGTAGTACTTACAGGACATGCTGTTGCCAGTGGTTGGAAATGTTTGTGTTAGAGTCCTACAGACTATGATAAACTCTGCCTTGGCACAAACTTAGGTAAGATGGGATCAGAAGGAGTTGAAGCTGTCTGACTCCCAGCTGATGGGGCCTAATTTAAGCTCTTTGGATTTATTTCTTGATAGGCCTGCATCACATATCGCGTGCCCCATAGGTACGCCTCACAAATGCACTCTAAAATGCCCTTTTTTTTTCTTACTGTCATCTTGATTTCTCAGTAGTACCATTGCACATGATGCATGCCTACGATGGGGAAAACTATTTCCCTTTCTGAGGCTGCCAATGGGCCCTTTCTGGTTTAGTCAGTCAATTTGCTTGAAGATTTAATCTCATTTTCTACCAACTTCCCATTTTTACTGTGGTAAATAGCAACCTACTGGTCCAAAGAACAATAAATGAATAAATAAAATGTGTATTCTCGATAGTTCTGGGTGGCTAGGCTGGGGGGCACAAAAAGGTTTCGTAGCTATTTCTTGCTCCATTGCTTTTAAGTCATGGGCTACACAGAATTTGACCTCCTAGTAGGCTCCACTATAGGAAAAATCCAAACTTTTCATTGCCTCCAGAGAAGGAACTTGGATAGCTAGACATGAGAAAAATCTTCCTTTTGGTATTGGCAGTGTCTATGACATATGGATGGGTGATTTGGCTTCTGTCCAGGAGGCAGTTTATACTACTATTCCTCTATTGCCATTGACTTCAGTGCCTTCTTGTTCTCCTGCTAAGCGAAACCTCTTTCTTCCTTCTGGCTGGTTCTGTCCACCCCCTTCCCTTTCCGAGACAAGTTTGGAGTACTTTAGAATATTTCAGTCTTTATTCCTACTTGATGAGCCCCCCAGCAGGCCTATTTCACTAAAAAGGCCTCATCTGTTCCTTGTATACTGGTGGGCTTCCTGGCTGGGCCAAGGAGCTTCACGTTTCCTCCTGCCTTGAGAAATGATACCAGAATGATGTTAAAATAATGTCATCACTGCTTTTAGGCCAGTTGCTATGATCAGCCCTGTGGTGGTAATGCAAGAAGATGCCTTTGGAGTGAATTAGGATAAGCAGGGTCCCAGGAGCTGATTTTGCTGGCAGATGTTACATTTAGGAGAAAATGAATGGAGGTTACACTTTATATACCGTGTGTGACTCACAAGGGAGTTGAAATGAGAAAAGTTCAAAGAAATGCATTGACATGTAGATTAATTAATTTGATGCATTGAAGGTTTAGACCAGTTTTTAATGCCAAAAGTATAAAAATACCGAGATTTTAATTCCCTTTTTTTCTGCCTTCCCTCTTTCCCCTTCTCTTCCTTCCCTCCTTCCAAGGAGAAGGAGTCTACAATGACAGATGAGGAAAAAAATGAAGATCCACCCAACACACTTCACATTTTACCCAGCATCAAATAATTCTCATTCTGCTGAATGCAAAGGTGGAGCCCTGAAAAATAGTTTTTCCTTAAATTAATGAATACAGAGTAAATCAGTACCATTTCATCAATCAATAAATCAAAGCATCGCGTTCAAAGCTGCCTGAAGATAATCCAGCACACTGTGCCTGAACCTTGCCCACCTACAGAGTAATAATTAGCACATGCATTTTTCCTGCAGCGTTTCTTAAACTAGTAAGTTAGCATAAAATAAAACCCAATAAATAAATAAATAAATACATACATACATACATACATAACCCAGGGCTTTCTCTTAAAAAAGTGGAAAGCACAGGCTCTATATTTCTTACGTTCTGATTTTTGATATAAGGCAATTTTAGGACAGTGAGAGGTCCTAAAGTCAGGGGAAAAAGAAGGGGAGAGACCAAGTTTGCAAGAATAAATCACATACAAAGGTTGGTTTTGGGCAAGCATATCTAGGTGAGTACTGATAAATGCGACAGATGGGAGCATAAGGGAAATGTAGGACTTTCTGTAACACTTCAGACCTATGGAGTCTTCTGACGCAGAGTATGTCTCTGACTGTGGGCTCTGCCAGATGCTTCAAATAAAAGTTGAATTTTCCTTGTGGACATGGAAGGCGGGTTCCTTCCAAATTCCACGGCAGTGATTAGTTTAACTGCAAGTAGTGAACTTTTCCTTTACTGCCCTTTATCACTGTGGGTCTTGTGGATATCAAATTAATGTCCATTCTCGCTAAGCTTCCAAATCAAAAATCTGATGGAAATGATTTCCTTAGGTGCCTCTGGGTACTTAAGCAAAAGAGTGTTCCTCTAATCCAAACTTCAGTAACTGCCTTTCTAATTCACGTGTTCCTAGTTCTTCCTTTATTTTGAAACGTGGTAAGCAACATGCCTCTTCTCTGTCTCAAAAACAAGAAAACTGCAAGGAAAAAGGGAAAAAATGTTTTCTTCATTCTCTCTATGAAGAACTTACCGTGTCTTGAATCTTTTATTGTTTGCTTCTTTTATTTCAGTGATAGAATGACCCAGCTATAAGACACATTTTTCAAAGAATTGTAAGATAATTTTCTGTTCTTTTTCGGTCGTAACATTTTGTTTGTTTTGTGGCATTATGCTCCTGAAGAATTTCACTTTGTCAGTCAGTCTAGCTGAGTTGTCAAAAGAATTATTTATATTGTGGTCCCTTTAACTCCCTTAATAATCACATTAGAGTAGGAAAGTGGCATGTAAAGGTCAAAAGACTCAATAATGATGAATCAGCCTAGCAAACACAAATTTGTATATAGGAGGTAATATGAGCAAAATTGTAGTCACATCTCAGCATGTGTTGTGGCCTCAGGTATCATCCGTGTCTTGTCTGCCTGTAAAAATACCACAATAAATGACCAGGCAAATAAAACTTCTTCATGACTATAATAGTTAATAAAGGTGATGATTAAAGGAAACCTGTTAAATTATATACATATCTATTTGACTACGTGTGCCTTTGTATAAAAACACACACACACAGGTGCATGTATGTGTATTAATATGTATATGTGTGTGTATGTGTGTGTGTGTATTTATTATACCTATTGATGCAATCAATCAGGTGTAGGTATATGTGTATTTGAAAGAAGTTTGAAGCCATTGCATTGAATGATTGCAATAATGGGAACGAGAAAATGAGAAAATCTATTTTTGTGTGTATTAAGCATAAATTTTCAGTGCAGTCCAAAATAAATTCAAATATAAATATCTAATGCCTGAAGAAGCCTGTTAGCAGTTGCTTGTGTGACATCCTGCTGATGTAATACCAAAGAAGAACATGAAGAACTCTCCAATGTGCATTTATTTATCTAAATCAAGAGCACTCTGTGGCATTTCAGCATCCTTTTATGACCTTGCAGTCACGTAAGATACACACATACCTTGCAGGAGAGCAGCTACGGAGGGTTGCTGTTGGGTGGAATCTCTGAGCTGGATGCCTCTGCATTTATTCACATTTAGTTAGGTTTAACTTTTATGACTTACATCACTGACTTCCAGGCAGGCACTTACTTGCAAAGTAAGATGCACCTCTCAGTGTGAACAAGGGTGGCAAAGCCGGGCCTCAGGTACTTGGACGTCCCAGTAAAACCCTCCTGTCATCCCTGGAGTTGACATGGCATCACAAGCAATCACAGCTTTGATGCTAGCTGCTGTCTCACTGGGATAGTGCCTGTTTGTACAACAAGGTGACAGAGCCCTGGAACAGGCTGCCCAGGGAGGCTGTGGAGTCTCCTTCTCTGGAGATCTTCAAAACCTGCTTGGATGCAGTCCTGTGCCACGTGCTCTGGGTGTCCCTGCTGGAGCAGGAGGGTTGGACTGGATGATCTCTAGAGGTCCCTTCCAACCTCAGCCATTCTGGGATTCTGTGATTCTGGGATGAGAAGTCTTACTGATGTATGAAAAAAGGGGCTCAGATTAGAGGTGTTTTCGGAGATGTTTGTTGAGTGTAGGGCCAGACTTTTCTTTCCCTCTTCTTCCATTCCTAGCTGAAAGAGGAGAAGGGCCTTGCATCACGACGTGCCGTCCAGGGCTCAGACGGGCAGGGAGCAGGTGGCACATTGTTTATCAGGTGATATCATGGAAACCATTTGTCCAGTTTTAGATTGCTATTACTACTAGGGTATCTTCTAGTTATGAGAGAGAGAACAGGCTTCCCTGGGCATTAGATATTCTTATTTGCCTTTCAAAACATGCCAAGTGGGATTTAACAAGGAATGCTTACAGATCACACTTGGTTTTCTTCTGCTTCTCCTCTCATTTATTTACAGTGTGAGGTGCCTTGAGAAGGAGCTGGCCCAGTATTTCAGTTCCATGACATATGCACAGATTTATTTAGGTATGGGTACTTTGGGTCTATGGAGAAACTGAGCAAGAGGAATGAAGAGGACACTTGTTCTGAACTGTTGGAGTACTTCATTTGTGTATTCCACTCCAAGCCTGCCTGGGTGCAGGGCACCCAGGGCTGTAGTGCTGATATATGTGAAAGCTGGTTGCCTCTCCAGCATCTCCAGAATCAGGACAGAAAACATAAGGGGGTGATATACCAAAGGAAATATCTGTCACTGAGACTCAGAAGCTGCTTCTCCAAAATGCCATGTAGCAAATTTGCTAGATGAACAGTCGTATTGAGGCCATGGTAGAGCTCAGTGATAATATCAAAGCACACTTAGGCTTTTGAGAATATAGGAAATGCCATGTAGCAAATTTGCTAGATGCACAGTCGTATTGAGGGAAGCAAGGCCATGGTAGAGCTCAGCGATAATATCAAAGCACACTTAGACTTTCAAGAATATAGACAATTTAATTTTCCAACTTCTTTTAATGAAGCAACATATCTCAGACTCCAAAGTGAGTGAAAGATACGAGTTGTGGAAGTTATGGAAGACATAACTGGCCAGTCACTTTGGAGAGGAATAGCGGCAGGAAGGAGCTGTTGGTGGTGTGTAGAGGGAAGCATTCAGTGCAGGACCACTCAGACATTTTCAAGAGAACAGGAATTAGGAGCCTGGTAGACTGACACAGATATTGAAGCTCCAGCATTCTTAGTCTCCTAAATCTTCACATTTGTATCTTCCCTTCTTTACCTGCTGCCTTGTGTTAGGCAATGCAGGACTAGGTAGAGTTTTGTGAGCATTGATATAAAAATTTCTAATAAAATAAACCCGTGATACCACTGAAGACATCAAGAAACAAAACAAACCGAATGAGCTTTGGAATAAGATCTCCTGGCCACTTTCAGCAGTCAGCAAACTTTCCCAGAAAATCTTATGTCCTCAGCCACTGTCTGATGGACACTATTGGGACAGTAGAAAGCACTGTACTAATAAAAGTAGTAGTAGTGCTAGAGAACGCAGACTGTTTTTCTAGCTCATGACCTAGTGTGTGTGCACACTGGGATTTAGACCTGCCACCTGCTTTGTCCACCTCCTTTGAGGAGAGATCCCCAAATGACTACACGGCCTCTTCTGATGAGGCTGACTTAGTTGTTGTGCAGGGTGAGCCCAGCCCCATGTTGCAGCTAATCTTCGTTTAGCATCCGTCCGTTGCACTGGACAGAAAACAAGTTCTCTTTTCAGCCCCTGCTCTGCTTTCTGCAGTTTGCCAGAAATTTAATCTATACTAAATAAGATTGCCTGACAGATGACATCCAATCTGCTGAAATGTTCACTGAGTTTCTTCATTTGCTAGCTCTCAAGCTCCCAGACTCTTTAAAACTCTTTAACAGCTGTTTCAAGCTGGTTTTAGGATACTGACTCTTATGCAGATTTTTCAAGTCGCGGAAAGAGGTGGAAATTAGAAGACAGCCCTTTCCAGGTGTAAATATGTATAAAACTTGTTAGCCATTTTTTTGCATTAGGATTTTCCAAACCACAGGCTTACTGCTATGCAATGTGCAATGGCACAACTGTGGAGAAATAAAGATGCTCTGTGAGGAAACCTGTGAATATTTTTTCCCCCCCAAGTCTTTCTATTAATGAAAGAGACGTGGCAGATGAGTGGACAACATCTTAATCTGAAGAGTTTTCTCAGAAAACATCAGCAGCTTTTAGTCTTGTGGTCATTCTGCTTGAAATAGGTGCGTAATGCCCTTGCCTAATTATTACTGATGAGAGGCACATAACTAGAAATGGGATCACAAAAATTATTTGTACACAGTTGGACATTACATCATTGTTAGAACTTTTACTCTTGTAAGTAATTAGTAAGGCATTTTGGACCTTTAGCAAAGTTTTTTGGGAGGTCATGCATGAGTGTGTGTTGGGTTTGGGTTTTTTTTTTTCCGGTCTTCATCTGCAAGACTTGTTCTTTGTAGGAGGAGATGACTCATTCCAAGAGAAGTGTCAGTAAGCTTAGCAGGCAAGCTTTCTAAGTGAAGCTCTGGTTCAAAGAGCCGTTCTTTTTTTTAGTCTCCAGCAGCAATGCTGTTTCTTGTTTTTTGGTCTGAAGATTTGCTGAAATAGGTCTGTAATTGTATTTGGTGTATCTGATGATTCTGCAAATAGTACCAGAAAGCTAAATAAAGATTATTTCTAGATGATATACTGTGAGGAACAGGCAAAATTGTACCTTTTTTTTAGGTAAATATCAAATACCAGTAAAATGATACTAATTTCTGTTACAGCTGTGTTTATTGCCAATTTTAGGATTATATTATTGTGACAAACCTTCAACTGAACATATCCCTGTTTCTGTATGTGAAGGTAGAAGGTGGTTTAAAAAAAAACAGCGTAACAAAACTCTTTTTTTCTCATCAGATTCCTCAGATGATGAAGCTAGTGAGAAGACAAGGGAGGAATCGAGAGCAATGCATCAGGAATCAGACTCCAAACCTGCTGTGACAAAGAAAAGAAAGAAGGTTTGTAAGTTGAGTGATTGTGTAGAGCACAGAGGTGACAGTGCATAAGGAAAAGTAGCCCCTTTTCCTTTAGTAAGGAGGCAGTTTTCTTTTTGTGTCGTGTGATCTTTTTTGTGCAATAAGATCCCTTGTGATTTGGATTTATTTGGAAGTGTTTGAGTTCCAGAGCATTTCAATAATAACTTCATTCTTGTTTTGTGTAAAATGAGATTGTTGAGCCTGCCTCCTGCGTCATGACTTCTAGTGATATAATCCTGAGTGGTTGTGCCTGGATTCCTCTCCTTGTACACCTGAGACCTTGGAAGCTGTATTTAAAATATTTTACAGCATCTCCACCCAATTATAACTTCTCTGAAGTGTCCAAGTGAAGAAGAATATAAGTCCCAATGGATGTTTTCATAGCCTTGCACTGCTGAAAGCTTCCTTTAGGACCTGTAGGAGCTATGATTCTCAGAACTGTATGGAGTACACCTGGAAAAGGCATCTTTGACAGACAAGCTTCCCCCAAACCTTAGCAGAAAATAATCCTCTAAATCTCAGCTGATTTTAAGAAATCTGTTGTTTGAAGGTAAACTTCTTGTGTCTTCCTAGTGTCATACAGGAGAACAGACTGAATGTGAAGGAGCTTGTAACAGAGATTTAGAAGCAACACAGTAAACATGTAGTACTAGTTAATGTCCTTTGGATCGATTGTCTTTCTCAAGCACCCAAGGCCTTCCCCATTTTCATTGGGAAGGAGACAACCAAGCAATGTAGAAAGTTGCATTTCCTTTCCACGCACTGTACCTAGTGGCAGATATTGAGGAGTTCAACTCAGCCACGTTGCCTATAGAGCTACTTTCTATGAGCACAAAGTTTTTTTACACATTTGGAACAAAATAAGCTGGTGTATCTGGAGGAGGTACTTTGTTCCTTGTGTGGGAATGCTGGAAAGGATAAACCAACACAGGTTATCCTGAGGAATGGAAGTTGGCGCTGTTCACCCGTTGCCTAGAGCACCTGCCTCTATCCTGCCTATACAATTAGAAATATCAGTTTGTATTTTGGACAGGTATTTGATGTTAAGTGATTACCTTATAGAGTTTTATGGCTGATAGGAGCTCATTGTCCTAGTGTTGTTGATGGTCTTTTATAGCAAAAAGGCTTGTATTTGCAAAACATTAATAGTTTTTTGCAACATATTTTCCTCTCTCATGCCTGCCTTGTTCACAGTCTGGAAGCTATTCTTCAGGGGACTTGGCATCTTAAAACCAGTCAGAAGGCAACTAAATAGAATTATGTTTCCAGTCTGTAGACTGTCCTCAGGCTTACAGTGACATGAATAATTTGTCTCTGATCTGAACGGACCATAGCTGTGTTTACTTTATCACTAACTCCCAAAGTCAGAGTATATGGCTGACCTAGAAGGTAAACTTTCACACAAGCAGAAGAATGTTTTCACTTTACATTTGAATTTCCAGTAACTTGGCAACATGTAAAGAAAAAGGTTGTGTTAGAAATATAATACAGGAAATATTTTATGTTCTGTCAATGATTAACAAACAAGGAATTTATGACATTTTAGTTCATAAATCAGTGGTCTCGGCACAAATTTCCTGTTTTCTGCATTTTAAGAACTTCCTTGTAAAAACACCCTAAGAACACAGAGCACAAGGGAGCCATGTCAAAAGCCAGTAGGTTGTCTGTTCTGTATCTTGCAGAAGAAAAACACACAAATGACCTTTCCTTAAGGGTGGCATTCAAAGAGCTATCAAATGAGTAGGTAGGCAACTAGCACTTGTGAAAGAGTCAGAAGTTCAGCCTAGATCAGATGCTTAAATATTTTAGGATTGTAGATCATCAAAAGGCATGTAGATCTACAGCCATTCACCATCATTTGTTTCTCTTACCTTTATGGCTTTATTGTTAATGTCTAGATATAGTGGACTGGTCTAACAATATACCATGCATATGTATGTGTGTATATATGTTTATGTATGTATATATGTATGTATGTGCTGCTGTAAAAGAGTTTTGTGAATCTACCTATTATGGTGATGTGAGGCAGCAGGCTTTGCCTACAAGCCTGCTGTGTATTTCTGTTGCCATTGAAAGAAAGGGCTTCATACTGTGCTCAGAAAAGAAGCCATGGCATTTGATGGTATTTTAAGCATTCGAATGAAGAGGTATCAGTGAGAAATTTTCTTTTCTATTAGAGAACATTTTTGGGTTTTATTCTTGTCTCACACAGATCCCAATTGGGAGAGCACATGTTTTTTACATTTATATGAAGCAGGTCAAATACCCTTCACAATGTTTGTGAATGGAGAAATGGCCCCTTGCAACTGAGTGGCACTTTTCTGTAGTCTGAAAGACTCATAAACAGAGTGATGAAGCTTCCTAGGTTAAGCAACCATTGTATTCTGCAGAAAGAAAAGATTCAGGTCATCCATTTCTGGTTCTTTGATGGCTTGGTAGTGTCCCCTGACTGAATCAGTACAAAGACTTGTTTTCTGCCTAAAATGTGGTGCTGAATTTGGAAATTAGGATGATAATATCTGGGAAGTGGTCTTTCAATGTCTATGGTCAGCTGGAATGTGTAAGGGTAGAGCAGGAGCTGAAGGCAGAGGGTAACTCTGTTTCCATCTGGATGTCTGGGAATCCTACATCTCACTTCCAACCTCAGCTAACTTTGGTACAGCGTTACTGTCTTTGCTAGTGATGACTGTGTTTGCATTATAGCACGTAAAACAAGCAAAGGCCATTTTTTTTTTTTATGGTGAGTGTGGTGGTACCCTGTTTTTTATTGCTACGTTGAGGAAGGCATAACCCTCTTGGTGCTGTCACTCTTGCTCTAAGAGGGGAACAGAGGAGCATTTCTCTACATCCCCGCCAGACTCCTTTGACTACTGCTGTTTCCCTTCCGGGCCTTCCCCAGGGGCTAGTGCAGGCCTGACTAGTGCAGGACTGAATTTTTGATGTCCCAAATGATGAGCTTTCTCCACAGTTGCTCACAAGAGTAGATTTTTCCAGGCATGTGCATTTTAGTGGCAAGGAACTTTTTTTCCTGCTACTCAACCCTTTTTCCCTGTGGAAATTTCTTCACTGATCACCTGCTAAGCTCTAAAACCCAAATTTGTAGCTTAATTTGCATTGGTAATATACAGAAGGCCAAAGAAAGAGAACTGCTGTGACTAAAACAAGGAAAACTGTGCCTCACTTCCTCTGTGTTGAGCAGTTTTAGGGGACTTTCAGACACATCCTTACCCTGTGTTCTGTGAACAGGGACTCTAGCTAACAGACTCTGCTCACCTGGGAACGGGAGAGAGTTAATAATAGTGACACATGTGTTGCATAAAGGCTGTTCTGTATTCTGCAACATGTATTTTTCTTATGTTTATTTGACCCTG